GGGGGGTTACGGCGGCCTACCGGATCATCGAAAGGAGCAATAAAGCATCCAAACGTGAGAATCACTGCTATATCCGATGGTTCTGCACAGCATTGTTCCATAAGAATAGATGAGCATGCAGTTGGCCTGAAAACAGTATCGAGATTTCTATTTTAGCATCCAGCTGTATTCAAATTTATTTCCTATCAACTTATTTCGTTTATACAATAAAATTTTCATTCACCAATCAAGTGGCTAGAGTTAAGCTCATAAAACATTTTGTTTATATTGTCTATTTGACCAATCGAAAACAGCTATGCAAACAAGTCCGATGCTATGACCAATAGATCAAGTTTAGCGATTTAGAGGACAGTCCTACCGCTTTTACGACCATTACTATTGTTACCTCTATTAGCAATGTGAGCATCATTGCTCAAACTGTTCAATGCTATTGCAAATTGTAATTAAATAGTGATTTATATCCATACTTTGATTTCTCTGAAACAGTCATAGTGAATTATGCAAGTAACAGTCATTCATGAATGGTTGAGTGTGTGTTGTAAGATGAAGAGTTAGGTATAAAGTAATATTATATCGTTTAAGGAACAGTCCGGTGTGCAGAACTGACGGCTTCTCGATAAATAGTTTCGTTCATTTAAGTCACGTTAAGCAAACTTGCGATTATTTGGTTGTTGATTACTTAAGTAAGTGAACGATCATTTTTGGGATGCGATTATCTGTTAAGTATTTTATTTGTTTGTGTGGATTGTTTGTGAAGTGTTGAAATGATTGTGAATTGGACGATTTTCTAGCGATTCATCGTATTGACATTGGCATTGTTTTCGCATTGCTTTCGAGGAATCTGACTTGATCTAATGAATATTCAACAGATGAATGCATTAATGTGTTAATGGGAAGTAAGCAGATGATGGGTGCGCTCTTCATTAGCTTACTTATCACTGATTCCACCAACTTTTTTTGTGTGTTTTTGCTTATTGTTAAGCGATTTTTTGACTGATTGCAAAAAAAAAGCTTTTTACCATTCATGAAATGATCTTCCAGAATCTTTCAATAGAATTTCTTGAATTCATGTGTGTTTATTACATGAAATTTACTGACCCGTCTGGATCCATTGAATTTGTTAGACTACCTGAATAAAGTTGGCTTTCCAATAAACTTTCAACTGTATCATTGCCGTTTCCCTATCTGTTCAGGATCTTATGTAGGTAGTATAGGTTTTTGATGGATATTAGTATCACCAATAGTTATGGTTTTTTTCTGAAATTCTCTTTCAATGTCATTGATTGTGATCATTCACCTGTCCGTTCCGTGAGAAAAAGGTCAGCGTTTCAGGTAGTTGAATCCGATTCATCATCGAATCGCAATGAGTAAAGATTACAAGCGCTTATTGAGCATCGTATTGCTATCTTTGATCACTGCATCACATTCCTTCTTATTTGGTGGTGGGAATCCAATGGGATGTACCCAAACAAACTGCTGGCCTTTCGGGTCTTCTACAGGTTCTGCAGGTTCTTCCGGCGGTCTCTGCCCGAATGGTTATGGAAGCGGGTGTGACACAAACCCGATTCCCACTTGGCCAGGATCAACCGGATGTGCTGATGGAGGAATGAATTGTCAAAATGGTTTCATGAATGACAATAATTACCAAAACACAATGAATGGAGCCTACCAAAACACAATGAACGGACCTTATCAAGGAGTGATGCCAAATCCATGTTCAAATGATCAGTTCGGAACGAACTGTAACTATCCGCCTGCACCGATAAATCCTTGTAATAATAACAATAATAATGGTGGTGGAGGCGCGAATATATGGTGTTCTCTGTTACCGTATGATCAACTCGGCTATCAGACGCAGTCGAATAATATGAATCCTTCAATGCAAGTTCTTGCCGGAAACGGAATTCCTCAGCAACAAATATCACCATCTCTATGTAATGGACTCAATTGTAATCCTTATCAAAATATGCCATCACCTTATCAAACGTCACCGTTTATGCAGTCGCTGACCGGTCAAAATAATGCAATGTTCTCCACGAATTCATTCCAAATGGATCCCTGCTATGGAATGAATGGCTGTAATTTCGGATCTTCCGCGTTGCCATCTTCATCGGCTTATTCTTCGCCTCAGGTAGGAAGTGGATATCTGAATATGAATCCCATTTCAAGTGGATTCTCGAGATCACCAGGACTTTCAAGAGCTTCAGCAGGATATCAGGTCGCTGGGGTACCGTCCCGACATACGCACAACTATCCGCCTCCAGTCATTCTCATTCAGCAATCCCCAAATGCTCCTACAGCAGCAGGTGAGAAACTTTTGAAGCTCAAACCATCATTTTATTCTGCAAATTTTGTTCGTTTTGGAGGATTTTCGATTGGATTTCTAAGACGTTCAGAGTAGATTATATCCATATCAGTTTCCGAAAAATCTTTTTGGAAAACAAACTGCTATCGGTAATCGAGATGATACACCGGAATGTTGAAAATGTGTGAAATTTTGAATTTTCAGAAACGTCTGGTCAATCACCGCTGGTCGTAACTCATAAAGATGATGCTATCCCGAAGAGAAGCAATTAATGAATCGACAGTTTTGTGATGTGATAATAACTGATACTGATAACTTCACTGAATGATAAGCACCGACCTAGATACAAGAATTGTTAAATGTATCTCAGATTCATGGCTTTACACTAATTACCTCTTCAAAACTCCGTTTCACACACATATTTTCATTGTAATTATTGTTGTCTTTGTGAATATCATTATTTAAACGTATGAAGTGCTGAATTTGTATGAAATTTCGTACGACTATTCAAATGTTTCCCTAATTAAATTTTTGCTTCTTCTCAAAATAAACATCAAACAATATTCTTGTCATCTTTTCCAGTGGTTCCCTCATGGCTTATTACTCGTTTTATCAAGTGGTGTTTTCCGAAATTTTTTTGCTGGAATCACTATTAGTGAATTGGTGGGATTACTACGTAGAACAATGAACATAGAATAAGTTTCTCAAGGACTGAGAGGAATAAGACGGAATGAAAGATATTTGTGAAGAGATTGATGGAAATGACATAAAATAATGGAATAAGAATGTAGCTGGAATGAGATGAAGAAAACAGCTTGGGAATGGGACGACGTGAAATTGGGGAAGAGAACATCTGGGAAAGGCTACTGAACACATGGATTTATGAATATTAGATAAGGGTTTATTGTGGAAGCAATTGCAATTGTTCTTAAAGTAATTGTACGGGATGCAAAAAAAAGATCTCCTCGTAGATGGGAGAAAAGAAGGGAAAAACTGGTTTTGTAAAGGTGGTATCAAGAAATCAAAAATCGAGTGGTTCAAATAAACAATTTTGCGAAATCATAAATTGTATGTCCGTCCACAAGTCCAAATAGGACTTCGCTCTTCGTCGTCGAAAAAACATAAAAATGAGTGATTGAAATGATAGTGCTTCATGTCTCGATACACTATGGACGTTACGTGAATGCTAATCACGCATGCACATATTTTGTATGATCACTGGTCAGATAATGGGTAATCGAGTTTGAGTGTGACTCAATATCCGTGAGACTTAATTGCACAGTGAAAGTGAGTGGAACGTTTTTTGGTTTTTGTGCATCAAAATACAAAGTATTCAAAACAATGAAAGAATTAATTAATTCGAATGTTTTTGTAACGATGACATAGATCATGATAAAAGTGATTGATGTGAGCAATTCGTCACTGACGCGTTTTGTTCATTTAGTTCAATTAGTAGTTGTGTAGCTAGACATAAACAATTATTAGCCGATTGAGATCTCGTTGCTAAACTCGTGCTACGATGCATACGCCAATATCGAAATAATTTCGTTCAGTTTTCATGCGAATCAAACCTAATGTTTATTGTTCACGATGTGCAGTGGAATGATCAATTGATGCAAAAAAGCAAAAATTATCTTACAATAAATCTACACTGATATACGTGGTCTATAATAAGTTCATATGAGAACCACATCTATCCATCAATACACCGCTGAATCTGGATTTCGACAGAGCTGTCGATAAAAATACGTTTGAAATTGTGTCGTGATTCATGTTCATCAAAATATCAATTATAATGCAATTAACGACAATGTGCTTTGATACACTTTCATCTCAGCAACACCCTTCAAAATTTTTGTTTACTTTCACTTCCCATCGGTTTGTTTACGATAAAAGGTGGTTGTTTCGTGTGTTTTTTACTTGATTTGAAAGGTACCTTTGAGAAACGCAAAACTGTATGCGTAAGTTATGTTGTATTGCAAAAAACTCGCATTTCAATCATCGTCAGATA